AACTTATTAGTTGGCCTAGTTTTTTTGTGCAGGAATGACAGAACATTCCAATTTTTTTTACGTCTTTTTTTATTTTATCACTTTCTTTAGTTTTAGTAGCCTTTGAGTTTTCTGCTACTATTTTTTTGCCTAGAAGTGATAATTTTGCATATTTAGTAATACACAATACTATTATATCCCATAGCTCATCTATGTTTTGTAATACTATCTCTTGTATATTATTTCTTATATCTGTGATTTTTGTTTTCTTTTTGAGTATATTATCTAGCTTAGTTCTGTACTCTTCTCAATTTTTTTCTTTTGCCTTATCGAGTTGATATATCTATTGTTTACTTTTGAACTTTTTGCTATATACTAGGGATTTGAGCTTGTTTGTAATACCTGTAGATAGAGTTGCAACTACTATAGAGTGATCACTATCTGTTATAGTGTCTGCTTCTATAATGTCGCAGTATACTAAACCTTGTCCAAGCTTCTTGGATACCTATATGTAGTCTATTCTAGAGTTTACAATACTGTTTAATCTTGAAAATTTCTTTGCATATAGGTGTAGATATCTAAATAAATCTATCATACTAGAATTTTCAAACTATGCTAGTAGTGGTAGCTTAGAGGAATGTTTGGATTCTTTTCTATTTTGGTCTAGTTCTCTATTTCTTATATCATTAAAGTCGCCTAAGACTATAACTTTTATGCTATTTCTAGAGCACTCATTGCATCTTCTGATTACTTGATGTTAAATTTCTCTTCTAATATCTTTCTCGTTATATGGTATATATAATGATATGATTAATAACTTTTGTCTTTTGAAAATGAAGAGTGCTTCTATATAATATGTGCTCACTCTTTTTACTTAGCTCAGGTGTTTTTCCTATTTGTATTAATTAATATACCTACTCCAGATTCTTTTTTTTTATTTTCTTCTGAGTCTGTTCAAACTCTAAAGAATTCTTTGTGTCTTTTTATACTGAATTTGTTTTGCTTTTTCGTGATGTTAGTTTTGTTAATTCTTATTATGTCTAAATTTTTGTATATTGCCCACTCTAGTAGTAACTCTAGTTTAGTAAAACTTCTTGTTATTCTATTGATATTATATATAGCTATTTTGAGTATGCAATAGTCATGTGTTAAGTTTTGTATTTTTTCCTCCTCTTTTGTGCTTCCTATACTACTCCTTTCTTCTTTTCAAGAACAGTCTGCTCTACTGTTCTTTTTCTTTAGTTCAATTTAGGCGCCTTTTAGGAGCATTAGAAAGCTTTCTATTTCATGCTACTAATCTTGTCTTTGAGACCTCTAATTAATTGTAGCATGTAATCTATAGAGTTTTCTGAACTTGTCTCTTAACTGTATGTATAGTTTGTATTACTTGAGAAACCGATACTATATTCTCTTCTTTTTTCTTCACATATTTCCTTTCTCTTTTTTGAAAAGAAAGCACTTTTATAGGTGTCTTCATTTCTGAAGAAGGTGCTGTTGTGTAACTTTTCTTTATCTATAGCAGGTTTTAGTCTGATATCTTTTTTCTATCTGTTTTCTTGAGGATCTGTTAAGAGGAAACTATTGTGATATGTTTTCCTGCATTCTTTGTATCTATCAGTCTCCCAATACAATTTAGTATTATAGTATGTAATACTATATTTTTTGGCTTCCAACATGTCTTCATTGCTTTGAAAAGTTACTATCATATAGCTTTTGTTGTTACTATTTGTGTTTCGAAATATATGTGCTCCTTTAGCATTTGTATATCTTATTTGTCTAAATACAAGTATCTTGTTTGCATTCTTAGGAATATTATATAGTTTTAGTATATATTGTTTTTTCTCATCTAGAATATCTGTTCTGTTGTACTTAGAGGTTACTCTTACTAGTACATTATTATTGAAAGAAATTACTCAAGGTATTTCTTCCTGACTTTTGAACTTTCTTTCGATAAAGAAAATCTCTGCTCTGAGCTTATAGTAATCTTCTTTGATTATTTTTATATGGTCAACTCTACCTAAGTATCTTGTAGCTTTGAATACTTCAGATCGACTAACTGTATAAAGTAGGTCCCATACTGTGATAATATTTTTTTGCTCTTTGAGTTAATCTCTTCTTTTTGTTTTGTTTTTTTTGTTTTATTGTTTATATCTAGATCTTTCTTTAAACTTCTTTGCTCAAAGATTTTCTTTAATTCTTTTTCAGCTTTTCTTTTAATTTCTTCTCTACTTTTGGTATTTTTCTTTATGACTTTGGTCTGTTAGTGTTCTTGAGTTTGGTTTTTGCTATTTTCTGTATCTAAAAAGTTTTCTAGAGTGAGATTTAGTTGTTCGTGCTCTTCCTTTTTATTGCTTAGTTCCGCTTGAGCTTCATTAAATTCTTTTTTGCAGTTAAAGGTAATTATACACCAGTGATTTTCTCTTGTGAACTTTTTAGAGATTTCTTTAATATGTATGTTGTTTTTTAGCAACTATATTAGGGTTCTTTCTCTTTGATATGCATCTTTTCCTGTTATGTTTGCTGATATAACTCTTGCTTTAGTTTCTGTTTTGTATTTGTATTTTTTATTTTTTGGAGCCCAGATGCTTTCTTCAAAAGTAACTTTACCTAGCATATTTTCAGTTCATTGCCTAATCTTTCAAATTTCTCTTCTAGCACTATGCTTTCTGGTTTTATTTTTAGTAAGTCTTCTGTTATATCAATATTTGAAATTTGCAATCGCTTTTGTTGACTTCTATTTCTGTGTTATCTTTACTCATATCCATTTCTATTTGTATAAACTTTTCACTGGATGGTTCTTCTGTAGAATGCTGAGTTTTGATATCTGTTGCCATTTCTATTTTCTTTAATTCTTTTGTAAGTTCTATTGGTTGTGTTTGGGATAGGATTTTTTCTTAGTTTATAATCTGTTCTATCTTATCTATTCCATTTGCGATTGCTACTCTTTTTATTATTTTCCTCTATTTTCTTGTTGCAGCTACTATTTTGCTGTCTATATACATTACTTTTGCAATCATTTTATCTAAATATGTTGCCAAACCTTTAACAGAGTTGCTCCCATTATGTATTATCTCCTCACTATAAATCTCAGCTATCTTAGTTAGTAATCTTTCAGAATTTTCTAAATACCACATTTTATTTATAGTAGATTTATTGATTTTTTCTGTTTGACGATCTTCTTTGCACAAAATCTGATGTTCTATATAGGTCAAAATGAAAAACTCTAGCAGTTGTCCGGTTTTGGTTAGGCATCTTTCTCACATGTGATTTAAACTTTGTTTTGTTTATCCTTGTTACACATGACTAGTTTATGTGACTTAATTCTTGTTTTGGTAATTCTATATTGAACTTCTTGTATAACCTAAATAAACAAAAATTTCTAGGGTTAAGCTATTCCCCAGAAAGTAGCAAAAAATTGAAATTTTTGTTGTGAGAAGAGTTTTTCTTCTAAAACTTTGAAAGAGTAGAGCTTGTTTTTTCCTTTTGGGAGTTATATCTAGTCATATTTTTTGTCTAGAATCTTTTTCTTTATGGTAGTTTTACTAATTTCTTAGTCTGGTTTAGGAGTTTTCTGTGTTTTTTCCTTAGCTCCAAAATTGGGCCAAATAATCTACAAAGAGAATTGAATAAAATATGGATTTTTATAATCATAATAGTATGAATTTAGAACAAATACTATATAATTTATATTTTAATTTATTTTTTAACTTCCAAGATAGCAATTATCTGTAACAATTCATAATTTAGAAATTCTTTTTTAACCTGTTTAATTAATTTTAACTATATAATAATCATAATAATTATTTTATTAGAGTTTACTATATCAATTTGATGCTATAGACTCAGAGAATGATTATGATGATACAATGTTAGAAAATATATCTCAAGCAAGCTATGCAGATACATCATATGAAGAAATGTCACAAAGTGATATACCAATTACATTTCAAGCAAGTTATTCATCAAGTAAAAATTCAACCTGAGCAAGTTTTAATCATCACAAACCTTTAAGAGATGCAGCAATTCAACATGTTAAGAAAAATCGTCAATTCATCTGCAATGTAATAGAAAAATGGCATAAAACAAAATGTACATTAACTTTAAATTTAGGTGATCTTGTGAAGATTTGAATACCTGATATTAACAAACGAAAAATAGATCTATGTGCATTGCCTTGTAAGGTCATACAAAAAAAGCCTAACCTTGATTCTTATCAGATTGGGTGTGAATTTGGAATTTTAGATAAGTAGTATCTAGCTAACGAATTAGAACTATTGAGTACTAATGAATATCCTGTGCTTGACATTATTCCCCTTAGCACTTTCATCTCTCTGAGAAATGCTGCAGTACAGCAAAGTTTGACACGGCCACTACATACAGTTAAAAATAATTCAATAATTCAAGAAACAACTAGACAAACAAGAAAGAAGACATCTCAACGCAATGGCTGCCATTGCAGCAAAACAAATTGTAAGACTAAAAGCTGTTCATGCCGTAAGAATAATGCACTTTGTACTAGGCATTGCAGTTGTGTGTTGCGTGATGAATACAACAATCATTAACATTAACTATTAATACGAACTTAACATTAGAATTAATGGCAGTTTATTTTTCACAAGAATTATTATTATACATTATCACCATAGATAGAATTCAATTATTGTAACTTTGTTTAATTTTACCAGCAAGCTATTAAAAAAAATGATTATTATATAATGCTAGAACATTCAAAATAAAAATATATCGTGCGTCGTGATGCTCATTTTGCTCATTTTTACTTTTTTTTTTTTTTTGGTATTTTTAATCGGTATCATAGTCGTTGACGACATACTGATTATTATATAACATATGTCAAATTATGATTCCAAAGTGACTTATATCAATTCGAGATTAACATGAATTCCAAAGTGACGTATAACATATGCACCATCACAATTATTAGATAAAGATGTTGAAGTTAATAGTGGTAAGGTGAAAAAACCACTCTGTATAACTGATAAACAAAAAATGATGACTAAAACTCAGTGTTTCTCACCTTGGGTTTGATCAATATCATTATCAACTATATCTGATATGATTTTTCGCAATCTCCGGATGTCTAAGAGCCTTGAATTTCTACCATCTCCTCGAACTCTTTTTCTTATTCTCTTACGTCCTGTCAGGTTAAAAAATTTTCTTCGCAATCTCCGACTACACAATTGCCAAGTATAAGAAATCTTGTTATTCTTAGCATCTTAAAGTTTTTTTTTAACAGAAGATCCGCGCATTTTTAGAATCACATGGTGATCACGATATTTTTTTGAAGTTATCCATAACCGATAACGATAAACAAAAAAATTTAAGTTTCACAAACATTAAATCAGCATTTTCTCAAAATGGACTGAAGGGGGGTTTTCCTACGTGCATCATTAACAATTTTAGTAAAATTTCATGAAAAAATTTGGCATAACTAATCTATATATAGATCTAATTTTTTAATGGATTTATCAGTAAATACGCGTTTTATCGTGTAAACATTTTATATAGTTTTTTTTTTCTTTTTTTGAAATGTTATTTATTATATAAACGTTTAAATACTAAAGATTTATTTCGTTTTTTCAAAAACAAGTTATGTCATATTATATCTCGTAAAAAACTTCAATTACTTACGTATAATTAATGAGAAGGTACGTTAATGAAATAGATAGCTTTGGGAATTTATGAATAGATTATTTTGTTATATGATGAATTGAGTCTAATTTTTATTAAAGATTTACGCTGGTATGATGACGTTACCGTATTGTCGCGAAATATGGTAATTGAGTAAATCTGAAATGATTTAACCAGCCTGGGCTGTGTTAGGTTTGTTTAAACAGCGTATGCGCTGTTTTAATAATTTCAGTCAGCTATAGAATTTTTAAAAAAAATAGACTTCTGATCAAATAAATATTAGTATCAAATTATATTTAATATTATTAATTGTTGATTATTAGTAATTATTGAGAGTTTTTTTTTTATTTAAGAATAATAGATCATTATCTACGTTAAGAGAGAAGTCCAACCTTTTATCGACGAACTATTGTCAATACATAATAGAAAATCGATAGGAAGAGAATATTAAATTTAAGAGGTTTGTATAAATGTATCGAAAAAATAAATTTAAGGAAAAGAAACCTCGAAAATGCATCTAAAGTCGTAAAAAAGAAGGAAAGTAAAGAAATAACTTCTCTACCACGAACCCATTGGGGGATAGGTAAGGAATTTCTCACAAAGACATCTTATGTTATAGTTATCCATCTGTTGGTGCTTTAATAAAATAAAATGCAACACTTGCCCGTTCATATAGTGTTTATATTAATTAAAAAATAAAAGTATATGAAAATATATTACCGCTCAAAAATTAAATTTTTTACAAAAATAAGTGTAAATAGTTATTAATAATCTTATTTGCTGCGAGTCTGGTGTAAAACTTTAAACTTTACATACGAAATTTACCAAAATTTATTGAAGTGATTTGGTTGGCCTAAAGATAGACATAAAATAGTAATAGTGATTTCGGACACGGAAATATTTGTTTCGTGAGTTTATATGTATATAATATGTATTTTTAAAGGATGATTATAACATCGTCAATAATAAATTTTCTTGGGATAAATACATAATGCAATATATTAGAAAAAAAGGTTTATTCAATGGAAAATATTACGTATTATAAATTCGGCACAAAATTACCATATAAGAACAATTTGCCAGTAACCAAAGCAATTTTCTAGGGTCCCTATATGGTTTCGTCGGGTCACGTGAGTTTCGTCAGGCATCAGAATGAACCTAGCGTTTTTAACGAGTATGAAATACCATTTCTTGACAACCACCTAAACAATTTCATAAAAATTTTTTAATTTGAATTCTACATAATTGTAGAATTCGACTATAAAAAATTCATCAAAATCATTTGTGGTTGTTGAAAAACCTTCGCTCAAAGTTTAAAAACCAATTAATTAATAACTTGTTTATAGCCGTGATATATTTACTTTAACTTTGAACGAAGGTTTCTCGACAACCACCTAACCATTTCTATAAAATTTTTTTATTCGAATTCTAAATAATTATAGAATTCAAAATAAAAAAAATTCATCAAAATTTGTTAGTTATCGAGTTGAGAAACCTTATATGTGTCGATCGTCACGTGGTGAAAATTTTGCCGGGGCAAAATTCATTCCCGAAAATACGATGAATGCGTCTTAAAATTTTTTTGTGACCATAGATTTTCCTTTTAATAATCAAATTGAAATCCTCATCTTTTTCAAGAAGTTCAATATGATTATCATATTTAAAATGCTCGTTATGTTTCAATCTTTAATTTTCGTATTTAGTACTGTAATCAACAAATGTAATCATTTTATTTTTATATAGATTGTATGCAGCCAATTAAAATTTTAAGTGCCGGAAGAAAAGAACCTATGAAATATTTGCCCAAATAATTTTCTAAATATTAGCAAATTCAAAATTTTTTGCTAGTACTCTTAATGTTATGAAGCATTAGACGGTTCTAAAACCGTTCTATAAACATAGATACTTTTTTATGTTAAATAAATTTTATGTTCATGCATGAATTGTGAACATGAAGTAAAATTCTTTTTTTTTTTATTTCTTCTAAATCAGACTTTAATAAGAGAAGACGCATCGCAGTAATTTGCTGATTTTGTCTTTCGGAAAAATCTCCTCCTTTTCTTATTTTATCATGCTGTATTATTCTCAAAAGACTAGTTTTCTATCTGATTTGTTTTCAGTTTCATTATATTTCAAGAATCAACAATCAGATGGATAAAGTTCTATAAATATACTATGTAATAACTTATAAAAACGATACGTTTAATATAATTTTATTGAATTTACTTAAAAGGATCATCAGGCAATATTAGCCAAATAGTCTTTTACTTCTGATGGTGTGAGCTTTCTGAAAAAAGGTTGTTCTTTCCCTTCCGTAAACCCTGTTGAATCCCACCAATAATACCGATTTCGATCGAGTTTTCAGTCATCTGACCTTCGAACCCTTCTTTGAGTGTAAGAATTGATGTATGAACTGCATCTTCAAGTTCAATATCATCGTTATACCTAATTTAATTATGTTGTAAATTAATTTATGTAATGAAGTTAATAGCAAACTCAGTTATAAATAATTTTTACCGTTTTTCCAAAAATGTTTTAGCATTAATCATATTCTTTCCAATAGCAGACGCCTTCCATGCCCAATATGAACCCGATGGATCCACTTGATATAGTGCAGGTCCAGTCGTCTCATCATAACCTGCAATCAGTAGGGAAACTCCAAATGGGTGTACACCACTAATTCAAAAAAGTCAATGAGCTTTCAAGCCTATGATAAAATATTAAGAATATACAAAATTTATTATTTGTTAACTTGCCCACTCTGTGTGAATTCTTGCATGACACTAGCAACCTCCTTCACTAAAATTCCTGTTGATGGGTATTCGTTGTAGATTCTCTTATATTTCTGCTCTGATTTCCTTGCTTTTGCTAATAATACTCTGAAATCGGGTCCCATTCCGGAATAAACAATACCAATATTTGGGCAAACATTTGCCACTTTTTCGAGTGACGAATCATCAATGAGTGGTGAAGCTGCCTTCTTTTCGGTTGCAATAACAATCCCATTTGTTGCTGTAAGTCAATAATGTAACAATTTGAATAGGATTAACAGAACCTATTTCAATAGCAAAATTTAAATAGGTTTGAGTTATAAAATATTTGTTAAATAATAGTAGAAGTATTTTCAGAAAAGTATCACCTGCTCTTTTGATTATTTTATTAGAGATTAAAGAAAGACCTGAAGCTTTGCTATTTGGAGAATTGTTGATAGTAGTTTAAAGTTTTGTAGCATAATTAAATCATTAAAATATTGATATTATGATTGTTGAATATATAGTTTTAGTTGGTATTCTTGATGCTATTTAGGCTATTCTAATAAGTTTAGTGAGTTATATTTTGGTTATTATTCATAATAGTCTCTAATATGTTGTTTAATTTGTGTAGATTCATGAATTAGTTTAGAGAGAGTTCATATATTGTAGAAGATTACAGATTTTTGATAGTATTCAAGAATACTATTTATCATCAAAGTAGTATTAGTAGTAAAGTTTTCATATCTTTTGTTAATATATTGTTAGATATATTTATTTTATATAATATCATTTTTAGTATTGTGTTTTGAATATATTAATTTGTAATAGTTTTTGAGCTTCTGAATATATGAATAGATATCTGAAGTTAATAGTTGTAGTAAAGAAATATTAGAAATATTTAGTTTAATATTACTATTTTTTTTTTTTTTTTTTTTTTTTTTTTTTTACAACAAGGCCTCGATGCCAGTTAATTTTTATTAAGTTGTTTGTAGGTTTATATTGATTAGTGAGAGTACAATTGGTCACATGTACAACTTTAATTATTGTCTATTTAAAGGTTCTGTCTGGAGGTTACCTACTAATTGCTATATCTAGTATTCCTTTGTGAATATTCTATTTTAAACTCTCTAGCATCTCCGTTATCCCTAAGCTATTAATCTAATTTTATTCTTAAACCTGCACAATTTCATGCTGCCTCAATGAGAACTACTCAGACTGGCTTGTACCTCAGTTTCTTTTATTAGGAGGGTCCTATCTCAAGGTACCCTTTTGTCCTTATCAGAAGGGGCCTGTGGAGTACTCCAACTATGCTGTGCTATATTCCAATTAAGCTAGCATATACTCTTATAGATATTCATACAAATCTAGTATCTGAAAAGTAAAATAGGTATAAATCTGTACAGATTTGTAAAAATACAAAAAAAGTGCAGATTTTTATAAAATGTTTGATAAAAATCTGCAAAATTTTAGAAATTTACAGATTTGTGCAGAATTGCATTTAATTTCTGCATCTGTTAGTGGCAGACCCAAAGATTTACACAGATTTTTATTAAATTTATTATTTAATTTTTTGCAGATCTGTGCAGAACAGCACTAAAGTTGATTTCCTGATGAGTTCTTTTCATGACTCTCTACTAGATATAGTCCTCTGAGATTTTCAAATATTTCATGAGATAGATCCTCCCAATTTAGTTAGCTGCCAAACCAAGTTGGTGTTGCTGCTAATGCAAGGCACCAGGCTGCATTACACAGTAGACTTACTCACACCTATTGATCTCACATCTTCTGTACTCAGGCTTTTTACTGGATCAAGTATTAACCAGATTGATTATTAAAATCTGTACTACTTCATCTAATTTAGGATTTCTACTATGCAGATCTTCTGCTTGTAGATCCTATCAAGATTTATTCATATAATATAACTTGAATATTATATCATATTTCCAATATCTGATTGACATTGGTGTAATATGATTTACAGGATTACAACCCCCAGAAACAGACAGAGTTTACTGTAAGTTAAATACAAAGATCTAAGTAATTATTCAAACTCATCGACAGTAGGATTTGAATCTCAGACCTCTTACATAGCAGTCTGACAACCTAACTACTACACTAAGATCACTAGACCTTTAATATTACTATTAATTTAGTTAATTTTTAGATTAAGATTATATGTAGTAGTTTTAGAATCAAGTTTGTTAAATATTTTTATAAATATACATAGAATTTGAATTGTATAGTTAATATCGTTTAGAGCTTGATATAAGGTGGTTATAGTAGTTAAAATATTTTGTAGATTTTGTTAGTCTTGTATAAATAAAAAATATTCATATTTGCTGATATAAATATAGTTGCTTCTAGAATATAAAAAGTGCTAGTAGAAACTAAACAAATTGTTTTTTTAAAATTTTAAATTAAAATATCTTAACAACTATTAAACCAAACTTAGTAAAATTTTTTTTATTTTAATTCTATAACTATATAAAATTTAAAAAAAATTTTATTAATTTAGTTTAATAATTATTAAGATATTTTACTTTAAAATTTAAAAAAAAAATTATTTAAAAACAATTTACTTGGCTTCTACTAGTACTTCTCTATATACTAAAGCTTGTTAACAAAAGTATTTGTATTTATAATGATATTTATTTGGTAGTTAAGATTAGATGTAATTATTGTTTAAAAATTATTCTATTTTTTATTATTTATAGCTTTGTAATTATATATTTTGTAGTAAGCACTTTTTGTATATCTAGTAGATTTGTATATTGAATTAAGTAGTTAGTAAATTTTAATAATTTAATAGTTACTATAAATAATGAGTTCAGAATTAGAAATATAAAAGAGCTTAATATATAGATTAGTTTTTAGAAATTTATATTTCATCAATTTAGCTAGTTGAATTAGCTTTTTACAAAGTATATATATATAAATAGAAATAATTAATTATAAAAATAAAATTATAGTTAGTAAGAAAAGTAAATAGTTTAAAAAGAGTATTTTAGTTTAAATCATAATTAAAGTTTCTAGTAATAATAGAATATATATGTAGAGCTTAAGCTTATTTTATCTAATTAATAATTTGTTATTATGTAGTATATTGAAGTTATATATGATTGAAAATATATAGCAAAAGATAAATCTAATACTATTTTTATTTCTTTTTTAATTTAAGTGATTTTGTCTATTATTTTATTAAAAATAAGCTACAAAGTAGAATACTATACTATTTATAACAAATACTCTTTTAAAACTATTCTAGACTTACTCAACTACCTTCAGGTATCTAAATATGATTTGCTGCAGTAACCTAATACTATTTTTATAAAAAAAATAGAAATTAATAGCAATAGCAATATAGATAGAATTTAGATATTATATATATATAGTCTAATAAGATAGTAGCAAATTATAATTACTATATTAAGATTAGATTGTTGTATATAAGTATTATAGAGTAAACTATTATTAAAAATATAAAAAAGATATACAGAGTTGTTTAGTAATTAATTATACTATATTATCTGATAGTTTAGATTAAATATACTAATAATATTATAATTATTATTATAGCAATATTTAGTTTATAGTTGTTAATTTGTTATTGAAGCTTTAAATATTATAAGTAGCTATTTTGATTATATTAGATATATTTGAGTTAGTTATATTTGTTGACTAATTATTAGTTATATTATTAGTATTGTTATAAGTATTAGCTTTCTTAATACAATATAAATAATATAAGATATAGAAGAAGAGTTCTTAATAGTGTCTAAGTAGAATATTATTTTACTATAGTAGTTTATTACAAAGTTAATGAAAAAGCAAAGATTATATTTTATTTATGATACAATATTAATAATACAAAATTATCTATTAGTTTCTATACTAAGAAAATTCTAATATTAAATAGATTGCAAAAGTCAAATCTAATCTGAAACAAAGAGAAAAAGAAGAGTTTATATAGCTTTTACAATAATAGTAAAAATTGTAAAAATTATAAAAATTAAAAAATTGTAAGAATTGTAAGAATTATAAGAATTATAAGAATTATAAGAATTGTAAGAATTGTAAGAATTATAAGAATTGTAAAAATTGTAAAAATTATAAGCATTATAAGAATTGTAAAAATTATAAGAATTGTAAGAATTGTAAGAATTGTAAGAATTGTAAGAATTGTAAGAATTATAAATTATACTAAAGTTATTCCTAAGTTAACTTAAGAACTACATATTTTACAAATATAATTTATAGCTCATTTGAAAGATCTAATTAATCTGAGTCTAATAGTATTATTTAAATCTATTTTTAGCTAATAAGTTATTTATAAAAGTGATAATAAATAAAGTATATTCAAGAAATTAACTATTTATAATAATAAAAATACTAATAATAAAATAATGAAATAAAATAGCTAAAACTTATTTTATAATAATATGAATGATAGAAGATTAAGAGTATATATTATTGTAATAATTGTAATCAGTAAGTATAGTATCTAGATTGTTAAAGATTTCAAATATAGATAGTATATTAGAGATAATAGTTTTTATTAATTAATATAAATTCATAAGCTAAATTAAATAAATAAGTCACAAGTTAAATTAGAAAGTAATAGTAGATTTAAAAAATATTCAGAAATTTAATTAATTATATAGCTTTGTTTTAGTATTTGTAAAGTAGAGTTGATATTTTTTTGTGTAGTAATTAGAATAGTAATATTAATTTTTTTTTTTTATATAAATGCTATTAGCTAAAACTTTATTAGTATTTATAGTAAGTAATAATATATATTATAAGAGTATAACTAGTTACAGTATAACTTTAGATTGTCTATTTTAAGTAGTCTATTTGAAGATTCTACACTAGTTATGATATCTGAAATCTATTTGAAGTTTCTCTATTTAAACTTTCTAGCTCTATGACTTATCTGTATTCTATCTATTTATACTAAGTTAGCCTAATTTTATACTATTTTTTTAAAAAGATATTCAAACTAATATATATTTACAAACTTTATAATTCATAGCTTAGGTCTTATCTCAAAGTATCCTTTCACTAACTCTCTAATAATAAGTACTGTAGAACCTAACTATGCTATGCTATATTCTAATCTAATTTGTATATACTCTTGTTCAAT